AACATAGCACTGAATTGTGGGTCAAATTAACAGTCTACTGATAAGTAGTTCTTTCCAATTTGCTATGGCATTATAAGCAGTGGTCTTGTATAGTCATGTTTATGAATTCTAGAGAATTCCCTTTGTACTGAGTGCATGCCACTCTGCACATCACCTGGCAGGTTTAAGTGTGCAGCGTGAAGCTTTGGAGCTTACCACTGCTTCACTGATGGAGGCCTTTGCCAGCACAGCACAGTGGTGCTGGAACAATTTGCTTGTACAGTGTAACCTCCAGACAGCTGCTGCAGTTGCACCCTGAAGTGAAGGAAGGAATAAGCAACTGAAGAAGATGGGAACACCTCTCAAGCGTTATTCCTGAAACAGTGATACACTAAAACACAACTTTGAACGCTGATGCTCGTATTTGGAATTGCAGGAATTGCACATAGGAGTTGTATTTAAAGGATCAAGCAGCAATTCAACCTGGAATGACTGAGGCTGTGAAGCAATGCCATATTTGTATTAAGATAAAATGCAGCACATACAACAGCAACAATTTCAACAGAGACTCCAGTTTTATTTGACAACACCTGTTGTCAGTTACAAAGGAGTACGATCTAAAAGTCCCAATGGCACTGTGTCTCTTACTGCTTTCTTGGATATACCAAAAATGAATATGCATCTTGAACATGCAACAAACTCACTTTTATATCCTGTAGCTTTCATTTTTAAGTGAAGGCAAAAACAGTTTTGGGTTTTTTCCCGTTTCCATGAATTGAGGTTTCAAAAACCTTTGACGGGACAATCAATGAACTTAGCCACTTCAGCATTCAGGGGAGTCAGGGTGTTCACTTGTTCCCTTGTCTGATGTTACAAAGGCTTTATCTAGAATTTTGTGTTGGCTTTCATGGAAACAGTGACTTGGTAATCTGGCCTGCTGTGGCTGGTAAGCAGTTATTTGAGTGTATTCTTGACATCTCAGAAAAAAAGGTTCCCCACATGTAACTCCTGAAAACAGTGAATGAGAATTAAATTTTTCTTCTTCAGAAATCACTCATATATGTATCATTTTCAGCACTGTTTTATTCTACTTTCCCATTTACCTAAAGCAGTGTTACCTTTTGGGTTTCAAACAACTCATACTAGATAAATACAACTACAACGGAATGGAGCAAACAAACCTAGTTTTAAGAGGACATTGATCAGACTATAGTGAAGCATGAAAACAAAACAGTCGCTCTCCCTGCACATGGAAAGAGTTATTAAAATGGTAAATCACAACACTGCAGACAACATAATGTTATAGCATGCCTTAAGCCAGTCTTGTACTATCTGAGCAAGAAAAGTACCTGATGACAGCACTCTGGAATGTGTCTTTTGCAAGGAGTGCTGACCTGATAGTGCACTCATTAACTCTGAAAACTCCATAATGTGAATGTTGCAGGTAGAATTTTAACTACAGGTAAGACATTTTTTCTTCTGAAAGGTTACAGTTCTCTGGGAAAACAATCATGAGGCATTGCCTGCAAGTCTGCTAGCATATTGAAAGTGTTGGAGGGAGTTAAGTTGGATTAATGTGTAGCTGATACAAATTTGAGAAAAAAAGTCACCGGTTGCAAATCAACACTCTTGATGCTTTCTCTTTAAAACCTCTAACCAGTTCTAGTCACATCACAAGAACATGACAAACAATGTTATGTGAGAAAACACACTGAGAAAACAGAGTTAAATGAGGGAAAACAAGAGACCAAAATCAATTGGTTCCGGTAACCTAGAAACCCTGCACAAGACAATGTCCTGTCCACACCGCTATTCCTGCCATGGTTATGGGCTCTACAGTGCTCCTTGAGTCAGGGATGCTTTTCTTATTTGGGGTTCCCTTACAGCTTGGCAGTAGAGAATAAAGGAAACATCTGTTTTCTATTTTTAAAAGATTAAAATAGAAATAGAAACAATTTCTCCCTGTGACAGTGCAGCCACTTTCCTGATGCCAGTTTTAATTAGCCAACAAACAGAATATAATTAGAAACATATAGCTGTTCCTCACAGCCTGATAACAAACAGCGGTGGCCCCAATCCAGCAACATTCAAACATCACTAGATGGATGCCAAAATGTTAAGGGACTGGCTTAAAGTCATAAGTTTCCATTTTCATTTTTTTTAAATCTCATCTTGGAGGTTTAATTCCTCAAAAGGAATCTCATGTTTGCTTCAGGGATTCAATATGAAATGCCTAACATTCACAGTAGACATCCTTCCTTCCATTTTATCAAGTGTCTTCCTCAATATCTCCCCTTATCCTCCTGAGCACTCTCTTACACTTTTACCTTGAGGGGCACATCACAGTTCATCATCTGCAAACAGTTCATTGCCTGGCACTCATCAACCAACTCATGCCAGAGCAACACACTGCTTTTATACCAGTGTCCTCCCTGCACCTTGCTTTTGCTCATCCTCTCTTGCAGATGAGCTCAGTTCTGCCATGCTCTCTCCGTGCCTGGGAACACTGGCAAAACCACTGTCTTTGTTGACACTCTAATTGATGGATGCTCTTTTTTTCTGGATTCTTGTTCTTCACCTCCAGTTGGCTCATTTTTTGCATCTGCCTTCTCCAATTCAGGACATTGCATCACTTCAACCATCTTACTCTCTCCTCTGTGCTAGCAGTAGACAGGACTGAGGTCCTAGCTGCTGAGCCTCCCAGCAACACCCTCTGCAATCTAGATGGCCCATCAAGTGGGGAAAGGCTTCCTCTGCACGTCCTCTGTGGGCTGACTTCAGCCCACACCTTTCCCTCATATCCAGGATGTAGTTTAAGAACTACTGACCTCAAAAGTCATATATCTGTGTTCCTGGACACAGTCCTATGTTGCTATTTTGCATCCCCCTCTGAACACCAGCTCTTAGGATGCAAAGGTAGAGGTGTATTCAGTCCCCAGTAGCTTTTTTTCCCTTGTTCCCTGCCTACATGTGGCTTTGAAAAGGGAAAAGGGAGATTACGTAGAATCAAGAGAAATGTTGGTAGTCATGAGTATCTGGCTACACAAAAAGACACCTAAAAGGTCTGAGATGTCTACAGAAGTCCGCTGTACACAGACTACTTATTTCACCCATGCAGAGACCAGCATTTAGCCCGAATGTATTGTCTACCTAGTACTATGCAGTGCTTAAAAATGCAATTAAGTAAGTACCTGGCTCAAATAATTTATACTCAGGATCTTCTACACTGAGCTGTAAGCCAGACTTCTGCGTCAGGACAGCAAAATCAGCCATGACCTTCTGGTAATAGGTAGTTGTCATTTTCATCACTGATGTGATGACAGGTAAGCAGAGGCATAAAAGTCTACTAGTGATTTCATCAGTCTCACCTGTACCAGGGGCAAGGCATTATCTCTGTTACCGCTGTGAAGGCCTCAAGAAGGCCCCTGTGTGTCATCTGTAGCACAGTCCCAAAGAAAAGTGAGAAGCAGGGCAGCTCTGCTCCTTTATGGCTAGTGACCTGCAGCTGATTGCATCTCAGTCCTCTGAGCAGACAACTTGCTGAGCACAGGCTAGGAATGGGATGCCAAGAAACAAGGACATTTACCAATGTTATTTCACTTCTTCATGTGATCCCCACATAATTCTGCATGACTACTGTTCTCAGTTGTACTTTTCATTTTCATGTGCTGAATCTAAGTGCCATCCATCCCTTCTCTTAGGCTAGGAACTCTTCAAGTGCCTGGGTGGACAGTATATCGAAAACAGAAACAGAGAAAAACAGTGCCAAGCGAGACATACATGTAATTTTAGTGTGGTGGCCAGGAGCCTTTAGACCTTTCCACCAACTTTGACTTCAATCACCTTCCATGTTGCAGTGTTGGCAAATGTGCACATTTGCATCTGCTGTTTCAGAAAGTGCGGAAAATCTACAGTGCTACACAGCACTAAGAAATATAGGTGTAAGTATGCCATGTCCCTCTCCCACCTTCATTTGCCTCCCATATTCAATATAAAGAGCACCAGTGGCTGGGATGGTAAATGTATCCCAGATATTGCTGATTACTGAAGTCAAATACTTTCTGGTATGAGTATTCCTCCTCATTTTAATTGTTCATTGCCTTGTATAGATGTGAACAGCAGTTTGGCCTTTTAACACTGGCTAATTCATGACAGGCCTTTTTTGTATCTTACGGAGCGGACCACCCCTAAACATTGCATTTTGTAGTCCCTATTTCTGGAGATTTTTTTGTTCCTCCTGTTAGCCCATGTATTCTGAAGTATTCTAGACAAAAGTGATCAATAATTTCTGGTGAGATTTTATAGAAATGCATTGTTGTCTTTTTGCATTTGTTTTCCTCATTTAAATCAAAACATATAATGGAAGAACACAGTGACACTAGTCACACATATTAGTTAAATGCACTGAAAACTTACACAAAATGATGTATTAATGTTAGAGCAATGTGTCTGTCCTGCATAATTTTAAATGCAGATAGTGGTATAGCAGAAGATCTTCTACATGTCTGTGGTATCCTCTTTTGGTGGGAAAAAAAGTTTTCATTAAGTGAGGGACACATATAAGGCTGCCATAACATGGGGCAGAAATATATTAACTTTCCAGAATAATAATTAGGGCAAAGGGGTAATGATCTTTCTTTGAGAAACTGCTATTTCAGAAATCACTCTTGGAGACAACTAAGCAACTGCGTTCAGTGGGCCAACGCCACACAGTGTTTGATTACATGTTTAAGTATTTGGATGTTCGTACTTAGATGGCATTGTAACTAAAAAATCAAACTGACGTCTTCGCTTTGTAATCCCAGTTGCAATCTAATAACAACAAACTGTTTAGAGATGTTTATCTCCCTTACAAAGGTCACTTACTATTATTAGAAAAGAAACACCTCCTATAACCCAAAATCAGAAATCAGTTACGAATGTAGTAAAATCAAAATCCCTTACACTCTTTCTCAGATGAAAGCAGCAGTAATCCCGAAGCCAGACAAAACTGCTACTATGGTTTAAATAATTGCCAACAACCTGATGGGTGACGAGACACTTCTCCTTTAGAGCTGGGAAGCAGCAGGCTGTGAGCATGCTTAATGCCACACATAGCTGAACTGGAGATTTCTTTATGAGAGCAGCTACTAAAGTGTCCAGAGCATAAGTACTGCTCAATGGCCATAAACATACTATTGCCCTTCTTTTAATCTTACTGACTTCAGACTGTCAGCAATGCTATTTTGCTCCATTTTGTTCCTCTGTTAGAAATCCAAGGTAAGACCGCTTCTTTCTTAATTCTTTATAAACCTGATTGCCTTTTGGGACACAGTAAGGAAATTTCATTTACATTAAGGAATTAACAAGGAATTTCATCTAAAGCAAGGAATCAGTACAGAATTTTCATTTACATGATTTTGAAAAACATATTTTTAGGAAAAAAAAATGTTTACAGCACATGAGGAAATTTGCTTTCATAAAATGACAGAATTGTCCAACCAGGTTACTCTAAATTTTGATGAAATGAAATTCGTCGAATGTAAGACTAAAGGATAAACTGACGCTTTTTGAAAAAGTACTGGACATAATAAAACATTGTTGTAAACAGCAAGCTTCACACCAGTATTATAACACATTTTCTACATATTAGGTTAAAAAAATAAGCATTTAACTTAGCAACTGAATTTTCATAAATATTTCTTTACTGCAACAAAATTTATGGTAATTTGGCCAAGAAAATCCTTTCAGTATCAGCATATTAAAATTAGAATTATAGATTTGATAGAGCACTTTGAATCTCAGAAACTATTGATTAAAAGATTGTTTCTATGAGAAAAGTTCTTTCCCATAGAAACACTGTATATAACAATATACAAGTAGAAGCTACAGTATTGAATTTACCCAAATTTTCCAAAATTTAGACTTTTCAGTTCTTCCACAATTTCTTTTTTAATAATGAATAGTTTTCTTATGCTTAGTAATTCCTGAAGCATTACAGAAAAGTGAATAAATGGTTTTCACTGTAATTAGCTCACGAATGGTAATGTATAAGCTTGTGAAAGGTTCTTTAATAAAATAGCATTTTTTTCTCATAATGCATAAAGGGCAGGTTATAGTGTAATCAAAATCAGAAACTGAAACAGAAAACATATTGCTGTGAAGAAATTTTCAAAATTGCCAGTCTGTTAGAGACAGAAAATAAGTATTAGAGAATAGATTATTTGTTCTGTAGACACCCTGTTACAAAGGAGTGGAATATGCAGTATTTTAATGTACTGAATTTTACTAAATCCTCTACTTAAAAATAACTATTTTTAAATCACTATGTTTTGTTACTGCCGAAGGAAATTTTACTCATGTAAAGTTTTTATTTTAACATAAACTTAATTTTATTATGTTTCCAACATTTGGTTTGAGACAATGTGGTTAATAAAAACCTTACAATGTCTCACCTTTTCATTACACAGATTAATATATTGCTTTCATTGGCACAAGTTCGATTAGAAGAAACGTAAGTTGGAAATAATTTATTACCGAAGCATCCCTTACTATGTTTCCTGTTTACACACCATGAAATGTATCTTATTTATTTTGAACTGTTATAAAAAATATAAATATCCACCTTACCATTCTTTCAAATTTCTTTTTCCATATACTCCCCATCAATAGTAGACAATAAGGCTTGAACCAATTTTGCCATAAATTATCTTGGTTTAACAGCAAAATCTTTGTTCCCTTTAGCCAAACCTGACTAGTTCAGACTGCTCCAGAGAGGGATTGAACCCAAGATGACTGGGCACTCCAAGGCAGTGCAGCTTCTATGCTAAACAGGTTCCAGCTCAAAAGCCTTGGATAACCACAGGTACAAGCAAAAGATTTTTCCTGTGTGGACAAGTCCTCACAGCCCTCACATAACTGCATTCCAAGAGGTACAGAAATATGAAGAGAATAACTGATCAGCTCCCGTCTTGCCCTCTCCTCTTAAATGTGTCTACAAGTGTACATGTTCAGTATAGCAGCTTCGGGAATGTCATAGGACACAGTTACATCTGGGAAACCCACATCTGTGGCGTGTTTCCAAGGACAATATCTGTAATGTAAAATGGGTATCGATTATAGGCTGTTTAGGCTTCACTAGGTATATACTCTACAATTCCTAGAACAGATATATGAGTCCACCCCAAAAGAGTGGAAAACATCACTTGATTATAAATTCAGTTGATACCTGAATGGCTGGTTAACCTTCAAAAAGCGCCCTTAGCAGTTAGTCTGAATAAACTGATGCGGTATGAAAAGATGGTATTTTACTGCCCTCTAACGGCTGGCGAGAAACAGCTCCCTTTTGTTGTCTTTATTCCCCAAAAAGCTCTCCCCAACAGGCCGCTGTGACGCGAAGTCTTCCAGCCAGAAGGAAACTTCACACAATTATCCTCACATGCCAAGACCTATGGAAAGTAATTATACAGCATCCTAGGCATGGTAGAGAAACAAAACTGACATGCTGCTAAGTGGGAAGAAGGTTATTCAAATCAGAGCCGTAACTTTGTAATGGATGCTAGTTAGCCAAACTGTGCTAAAACATCAGTGACTGAAATTTCAACACTTGAATAAGTCTTACCAGTCTGAATTGATAAGCCCAGGAGGATCTTCTGATGTAGCTGGGAGAATAGGTATCTTTAACAGCGGTTTCAGACTTCTTATATCACTGCCTAGAGATTCTACGCGTGACAAATTTAAAGATAAAATATTTAAATCCAGAATTTCAAGCCTTTTCTTTTTATGATCAACTGCTGTTCACAGCAGCTATAGGACCTCTTCAGTGAGTAACTGCTTCTCAGTGTCAGGAAGGGATTTACAGTCCAGACCTTAATAATAGTACCAATGCAGGCTAGTGATCAGTTGAGTTGTTCAGTTCTGACAATAAAAAAAAACCAAACAGCTATTATAAATATGACAATCAATCATATTTAAGTGTCATACAGCTACTGAGCATAAATTATAGTGTGACTCACTTTTCAACCAGGGAAAAGAATAACCTGGTAAAGGATCTGTTCATTTCGAAGAGAGTGCAGGGATGTTGTTTCCCTGTGGAGCGCCGTGGATGAAGAGTCCGTCACCATAGTAAATGCAGGAACCCTAAAGCAAGCGCATTTTAGATTAATGTGAAAACCTGATGACTAGTGCCATTTTTTGCAGATTTTAGAAATTTCACATACAGGCGGTATCTAATTTGCATTGTTGCTTTAATCCTGCTCACTGTTCAGGGCATTACATGCCTGTTTCATGTGGACAATCCACAGCATTTTCAAAGCTTTATGGCAACAGTTCTTGCAATTCATCAAACATCTCTTCAACCTGTAGTTTGAATCTATCGAGTTGGTCTTTTTCCAGGGAAAATTTGATATAAAACTGAGTCTTTCTTTTCCCAGCTAGAAAAAACATATTGTTGGAAAAGAATGGTTATGAAAACTTAGATCTGTGCACAAATAAGTAATTTTGTGTAAGTTTTAGTGTGTGTCTTCACTGAAACAGGATCCAGAAATGTAAAGAATTCTCTTTCCATTTTCAAAAAATTTTTACAAATTCTAAGTGCTTATGATTCATTTGACATACTTGGTTGTTTTCTTTCTTTTCATCTCTTCCTTCTTAAGTGATATGTGAACTTAACAACAGTTGCGCTCCCACTGAGCTCTCAGTCAGTAATATTTCAGTGATTTTGAAGCTAAGTAAAGCAAACTGACCTGTCTGCTCTCACAGTGAACTGGGAGCAGTAATAATAGGATCAAAAATATATATTCTGTTATCATCTGAAATGTGCCTTAATTATGCGTGTTACAACAGCTCCAAGCAGTATTGATTCAACAAGGGGCTTTCACTAAACCAATTTTAACCAGTGCTGAAATCTCTGGATCTGTTTTATTGCAAAGGAGAGCTTTTGCACAGCTTGGACATTTGCAGAGAATGTTTCAGTTTTTCTGCTTTAAACAAAACTGTTCTTACAACCGCAGCCACTGAAAGAGACAACATTCCTTGCTTGCACTCCCAAGTTTGCAATCAATTTATAGACTTGTTTCATTAAAGCACATCGAGTAACAGTGACATGTTCGAGAACTGTGCACATGTTGCGTGAACCTAGCTGATCCTCAGTAATACATGATATGGTTTGGTCGATTTTTGCCACTCAGAAATTTATGGTGAGAAATAGGGGAAATCTAGTCGTAAGTAGAGAAGGAGCAACTCCATCATAGGCAGAAATTTGAAGATTGAATTTTATCACCTGGTGAATAAAGAACTGCTTTTATGGCATTATTGCTTTGAAAGCGAAGCTTCCACTTCTATCTGTATCTATTCGTCAGCCAAAGTGCTGTCCATGGGGTAGTAAATCATGAGTCTTATGGAACTGCTCCACATAATACTGCAGACATTGATGAGAATGTGGATACCCAGCAGATGAGACCATTGTTTGTGTGGCAGCGTTACTGGAAAGTGTGTCAGGAACAACTGCAGCCGTCAGAGCAGTAAGTGCACTATGCTTGATAAAAGAGCAAATTAGGACAAGTTAAAATGAATTTAGAGGCTCAAAGAGAAAACTAAAAGAGCAAGCCCTTCTTGTTTGGATAATAGCTGGCTTCTTGTCTGCAAGGGCAATTAACTGAATGCTGAGAGTGAAGAGAGACTCGGGGTTCATTTTCAGCTCTGCTACCCCACATGCATTCTGTTGTAGCTTTGCTTCTCTTGAGAGGTCATAGACACACTCAGTTCTTTAAAAGGGACTGTCAGGCCATACTGAACATATACATGTACTTTGAAAAAATGCTTTTTCTGTCCCTGAATGAATACAGAAAGAAAGCTTTTTCCAGTCCAACCTTTGTGCAATATCTGATATATGAAAAAATGAGTTAGAACTAAAAATACTGGCACTACCATAAGGACTTTGATGAAAACAGCAAACTATCAGAGTCTAATCGTAACATTGTTCAAAATACTGATATACAAAGATCTATAGTTTAACCAGCCTAAACTACCTATTTTTATCCACATAGTGGATCCCAACAAAAGCCTTCAGAAAAGCTAGTCTAAACTTCTTCATCCATCTTTTAAGTTTTGCAGCAAGAGAATGTTAGAGGTATCTCACTTAAAAGGCAAGGCATATCTTGGTGAGATTTCCAAAACTAATTTAATTTGGATCTCAAGCCTGAGTTTGGAATCAACTATGTATTTCATCTTCTATCATCGTGTCTCAACCTCAATGCTCTGCATCATACAAAAAGCAGTACTATTAGGACAGTGTTAGTTGGATAAAACATACTCAGTTTTTAAAGATTACTGTTTAGCTGAATTTCTGCTCTTTCCATCCTTGCTGATACTATATAGCCCCTAATTGTCCATCAGCCTCATAGGAATTGGATTACTTCACTTTGTTTCTGTCATTCTTCCCTATAATTTTATCCCATATGTTTCATTTTAATCTTGTATATAGTCCCATAGGAGTCTCATGTGTCTACAGTCAGCATGTCTGCCTTTGCAAGGTAGGTCCATAGACATTTCTACCTGTTCAACTAAGATTATAATAAAATTTGCCTTGTCAAATTTGAACTTCACTTTTCAAAGACGTTGCTAATGAGTAAAAACAGAATGAGCTCTGATACAGAGAACTTTCCTGTTTTGTTTGGTTTGCTTTTTTGCAGTTTTAGCATTCTTTCATGAGTTTTTCTTGGCCATAAAAGCTCCTGTAAACTTTGTGAAAGGGAAGAAGTGTTTTTGCAAATGGACATATGCTCCCTACCTGTAATGAAACAATAGAGCGGATTTCCTGCAAATGTTCTGCAGAAAACCAGTCATTTGTGGTGTGCACCAATAGAGGAAATAAAAACTATTCTCTTGTTTTGAACATCTTGTCTAAATGAGTGATTTAGAAGACTATAAATGTAATTGCATTATTGCAAAAAAAATCCCAAAAGCCATAAACGAGACCAACTTTGCAGATTCATACCAAGATTTGACTTGCCAATTGCTCAAACATTTTACTGTAATTGTGTGCAATAAGTGTTCTTAGTAGTTGTACCTCTCTGACGTGTAAGTAGACACTTCCCTGTTGCCCAGCTGCCTTCAGCATGGGAAGTGGCTTTCCACATGCTCCAGCTGGAAGTCCTCTCTTGACATGAGACTTCCATTTCCCCCAGCCAGGAGCACCCGAGTACCACTTCCCTGTCCATCCCCGGCCATGCTGCAGGGTTCTGCTACTTAACGCTCACACCTTCGAGGAATCAGTCTACCAGGAAAGTACATTGATAAATTTCTTTCTGGCCAGTAATGTGTTCTGCAGATGATGGGAAAGAGAGAAGAAAAACAAACAGAAACTTTAAGCTGTCTCTTCTAAATTTCAGTGGTGATAAGCCATTTGTAGCTGACACTGTAATGCAAGTGGCGGAATTAAAATGACATACAATGCACTTTAAAGTGAAAAATGAAAATATTCTGTTGCATGCTGTGGTTGTGGTTTTATCAGGCCTCTCTAATTTGAAACGTACTCTGCTATAGAGGAAATGTCTTCCCATATTTTCTCAGAATCCTGGCTGGTGGAAGACATTTCAGTTGGTGTTGTCTGCCAAAAGGGTTATTTTCCATGCAGAAATCATACAACGTGCCTCCCGCAGGCATTTCATTGGGATAGCATAAATGACTGTGAGAATGGTGCAGAGGAAGAGAACTGTGGTGAGTACTCCAACATCTGTAAGTACACAGAAACAAAATCTGGTTGTGGGATGCGCTCCTCCAGCTAATACACACTGAATCACTAATAGTCGGCAGATGATCCACAAGCCTGACAAGTCTGGGGTTTTCAATGTAATTGAATATTTTCTTTTCTTCGGTGAATGAGGGAATTACACCATGCTGGTCAGCAGAGAAAACTGACAGGGTGTCTAACGGCATGCCCCAGGCAGACTCCAGTGGTGAGATTCCTGTAGAATCCCTATTATATTATCCTCTGCTGTGGACAATGGGTAATCACTGCATATCTGTGTGGGGAATCCTTCAAAGTGGGTGCACGAACTCCTGCACGTAAATAGGGGTACTTATGCTCAGTAAGGCTTTCTACAGTAAGAAGTGAAGAATTCTTGTTCAAGTGTTTCAAGATTTCAAGTGTTGCAAGAGTCTTAGATTTATACATATGTTGGTATATGTGCATAAGCATATACACACTCGGTGGTGATCACACTACCATTCCTCTCTGTCTTACTGATCTCCACGCCCACTCTCAATCCAAAAGAGCAATGAGGAAGTCAGATCAATGAGACCAATCTCCTTTTTTGGCTAATAAATGATCCCTATTTTGGAGCATGATTTCCTCTACATCACATTTGACTTCTTCTGTGACTCTGAATCATGTTGGGTCAGAAGATAATGTGTCAACACCACTGTGATCTCCCACTTTGTATCCTCCCTCCCTCCCTGCCTCGTAGTGAAGTTCTTGCATCTCTTTCACTTCCTTTTCTTCTTTCTAGGTATTTCAAATCATCCTCCTGTGCCTCTTTCCTTTTTCATTACCATCACCCCTCAGCCACCATCTTTGGATGTGGTCATTTGTGTTTATGCCTTTCCACATTGCACCTTTCCTGTTTACCGTTCATCTACATACCAGTGCCGTTACTAGCTCCAAACTGCACTCTGGTGTACTGCTAACACTGATTGCCCCAAAGACTGATATTCTCCATATGTAATAGAGATTCCTACCTTCTGCCAATCTATTAAAAAAAAAAATGTCTAAGCTTTATACATTTTAACTGATTTTCTCTCAAATCTCATATAACTTGTACAATTGCCTATATATTTAGTTGGTCCAGTAATGATCTGTTCTCATCATTTTCCATGGTTTTGCCTGGAATTTGAGATCACCAAACATATTCATTTACTGAAACTGGTCTAAGCTTTCTGGTTTTTACTGAGTCACTTTCTGACTTTCAGTCTTGTCCTAGAACACTTCCATTATCATTTGTAGCTTTTCACTGGAAATAATTTGTAACTCTCCATGCTACACCATGTGCTGCAGTATGAGTTTCTCTACTACATTAATCATTCTACTATAGCATTCAGTTCTTTTTATCAACACAACTGCTAATAATATTTTGCATCAACATTAGATTTCTCTCATGCTTATAGTGCCATGCTTATAGTCTGGTACACTTCTGATATTCAATTTACTTGAGATTTCTTAATTTGGGCTTATAATTGCTACTAAAAATCAGCAGAAAAGACAATAAAAACAATCTCTTTGAAGATTTACTTTTGGTTCTATCCCATATAAGAAAACACATGTACCCCACAGACAAATTGGCATTAATGTTCTGGTTTTCATTAAAAGCTGATAGACAATTTAAAGTACAGCTGACAAACATTAACACTTTTTATAGGAGATAATAGTGGATAGGCAGGTATCTTTAATATTGTTCATGGAAAGCCTAATTATCTGGATTTAACAGAATAATTCTAACTTAATCCTAATGCCTTTATTAATATTCTTAAACTATTTTACACTTCTAAGGCTTTTCACTGCATTTACTATATTTACTATAATTATAGAGATATCTGGAATTTTAGATGCGCTCAGGGAACTCCTTTACTTTCCCAGAGCTTTTTACATGCATACCAGAGCAGAGCAAAGTAATGCAATGCAGAACTTCCTTGTTAGTGCCATGTTGCAGTTCTATAAAGTTGCAGGAAAATGGTAATTACATTTCTGGAAACTTTTGGAAAGTCAGTATTTGTTTTCATCCCACTCAGGAACAAAAGAAAAAAGAAAGGCTTCTCTATGAAACATTAAAAAAAAAAATTAAAATATTGAAATGTTTTATGTTGATCCCTTCTAAAATATTTCTTCCTGCCTACTGATGAAGAGTCATAAACACAAAATCCTCAGCTCAGTCAAAGTATTACAGCTCTGGGACAGCTCTTCAGATGGACTGCCAAGTTGGGGTACCCAAAAAGCCCTTCCCTTGAATCCCAGAAAGCAAGGACAGTGTCTTGGCAAGCAAGAGGCAAGTTTAGATGCTGTGTTCCCTCTGGTCTGCACTGAAATCAAAGCATCCAATTTCCCAGTGAAGTGTAGTGACTTAAACAAATCTGCATTCTCCAGTGGAAACTGTTCCATCAGCGGTTTCTCAGATGTTCTCGTTTGTATGTATATATAAATTTATATGTACATCAAGTACATGTTGTGTTTCAGTTACACATTGTAGCTTATGGACAGTAGGACATTAAACTTGATTTACTTTTTACTTACGTTTGCTTTCATTACATGTAAAGCACTGCAGTCCTAGGAAGTGCAGCATCAGTGTTTTATAGCCTTCCTGATAGGTGAACCTTACTAAGGTAATTTGGGGGTGTTGCATCTAGATGTCCAATCCCTTTCTAAAAAGAGGTCTCAAAATGACACTCCATCTGATCAGATGTACTTGGTGGGTCATATGTAAGACATACATTCAAGAATTCCTTTTCCTAGGTCTCCACCAACACACAGAAGGTTGCAGCTGCATGGAAACAGAACTAGAATGTGCTGCTGTTAATTTAAAGTCTGTTCCACTTGTTTCAAGTAACGTAACCCTCCCATAAGTAGAGTTCCCTTTGCTCTCCAGCATAAAGCTGTTTTACAGAGAGATTCCTAAACACACTTTGCATAGTGCTATACTACCAAGTATGGGCCCTCTGCATTCAGAGACTGCAGAAAAGGTTGAGGCACTATGGATATTTACTAGGTGATTTACTAGTATGTAGTGAATGCTGTGAGCATTTTGCTGCAAGGCCCACTTCAGTCTGGAATTCATCTGACAAAATATATGTGTCAACACTGTAAACCAGTCATCTAATACAGGTCATATGAACTGCACACAGAACACATTTACCTCTCTCCTCTAAAGAGAGCTTGGGGTGTTAGCTGAGATGTGCACTTTGCACTGTAGATGTTTACAATTAGGTGAGCTGAATGCTATTTGCGTTCATCATTCCTATTGCTTGAAGCCTGTCAGCCCCCGGCCACTCAGTAAAGATCACTGGTTGTGCAGCCAGCACTGGGGTAATGAGCACCCACCAAATATTGCTGAAGTTACCAAAGCAGGAATTTCAGGATTATTGGTTCTTAATGATGACTGACAGCTCCCTATTTCATTTTGCTAGCTCCAGTCCTACAGGTCGTCAAAATTTATATATTGCTGAATACTTGTTAATATGAGAAAGTCTCAAAGATCTGTCTGGATCACTGAAGGCAAATATTTAAAAGAAGCCAGTCTTAAAACTCGGCAATGAAGTTTGCTGGCCTTCAGTTAGCTTCTTCAAGCAGTAAAGTACATTTACTTTCCAAACAGACCAAAGGCAGGCCTGTCTTCTCCCAGCTAATCCCAGGAGGGCACTCAAGCTTCAGCTCAGGATTTAAACAATAAGGACAGATGGCAAAGAAGCTGAGGTTACCTAGGCTTCACAGGCAAGGTAATGCAACCAACGTACTGCACCCATTGTAACGTAATGGAATGTGCCCAAAGTCCTTTCCGGGCTCTGACCCTGTGTCGGCTGCACCCAGATGTAAGGTCTGATTTTTGAGAGTTGTAACACCGACCAGTTAAGACCTAATTTAAACATCAGTTACCAATTACTTTTAGGTCACTCACACACAACCAGATCCCTTCTCTTCCAGATGAAGTTTTCAGCAAGTGTACAAAGGTGAAGAAAATGTGAGTATCTTGTGTCGTTTATTAAATTATTACATGAGTCCTGGAGTATATAGAATGAACAAAATCAATATACAGTCACCCGTGTGGTCACTTTTTTAACAGTATAGCACGGCATTTGCCTTTGAAATTCATGTTTTCATCATGTTGGTCTTCCAGTGTAACCAGATGTGCACACATGCAGGCCATTTTGTATGCAATACACAGAGATCTAGTCTTGCTCCCTGCCACAGAAAAATAGTAAGCAGAAAATAAGTCTGTCTAATAAGAAATACCACCATTTTGTCATGAAACTGCACCTTACTGTTTTAAAAGGTTAAATAAAGCATCTTTTTAATTTTTCCCTTTTTTCTTTCTGTTTTGATGCTAAGCTACCATGGAAACCAATTGCAAAATTATGCAAGTAGCTGCACACATGGCAAATTCTCCTGTGTAGTCAATCCTGTCGCAGACCACTAGTGCATGTTTTTTCAAGCTGGGTGGTGTTTTCCATGTTCTTTATATAGTAGGATGGCCTTTTTATTGGAATTTGACTTGGACAGTTTTCAATACAGCTTCCTCCAAGTTCCTGTAGGAACTAGTCAGACCTTCATCGAGTTATGAAGAAGGAAGGCGTTCATATATATTACATTGTCAGGCAGAATGACTTGTGTCTTTTTTAAATATGGCTGTTGTTAATAACAAAAAAATCAATCAGTCCTATACGTCAGATAAATTCTTATAGGATTAAGGCATACATACAAAGCTAGCATGTATGAAGTCTACATATGAAAATAGGGACAGCTCCAAGGGTAAGAATTCATATCATAGAATCATAGAATCATAGAATAGTTTGGGTTGGAAGGGACCTCTAAAGGTCATCTAGTCCAACCCCCCTGCCGTGGGCAGGGACATCTTCAACTA